AAGCATTTCTCACACTCAGAACAAAAATATATTTTTTTAACATTCTCTCCACTTTGAACGAAATGACGTTTGGGAAGAGATTAACATAATTAAACACAGGCAGTAAAAATACAGTTTTTAGCCATACCCTGTAACTTTTAAACTACACATCCCATCTTCATAATTACATATTTGGAATCAGCACACTTAAAACATAAACATAACCAAAAATCAACCAAATCCATCCAGGGGTTAAAAAGTTAGCTGGAGGTCCCTTTATGACCGACCGCAAGCACATTTTCCTGCCCAAAACAGTTCCATAGATTTGGAGAAACGTGAGGTGAAGTCTATTTCAGGCTGAAAAAGCGACTGAGAATCCCATGAATGGGACTTAGTCTGCAACTGAAATAAGGCTGAAAAAAGATAAGTCCATCGCCCGAATGGGACTTAGTCTCACCTACAACTGAAATAAGGCTGAAAAAACGGCTGAAAAGGCCAGAATCCATGCGGCTGAATGGGACTTGGTCTCTGCAACTAAAAATAATTTCCCATTTACTGAACCAAGTGGGAATTAGCCAGGCAGGCACAAAGGGTTTGCACCAGGTCTGGGGACGCAGGGGACACCGTCTTAAAGGGGCAGTGTCCCCAACAAGTCTGGGGACACAGCCTTAAAGGGGCAGTGTCCCAATCTTCCTGATGTCCCAAAAGAGGGGTTTAAAGGGCCAGCACCAGTCACATAAAGAGTCCATAAGCCCCAATATGCCCACTGACAGTCTTAAAGGGCCATACACACCAAATAAAAGTGCATACATTTTCACAATCTCCCAGGGGCCATAGTCATGCGGGAGGAGGCTGGCAAATAGGCTTCTCCACAACCAGGGAAGCAGGGCAATTTGCCATTTAAAGGGCGCGTTACAAATAGCAGTTTGTAACAAGGTGTCAATCCATACCTGCCAAGTGACCCTATGTAGGGGGAACAGTCCTATTCTGCTCTGTGTCAGTGTTTATCAGGGATCCTTAGGATAGGTGTCAAACCATTTCTGCCAAGTGACCCTATGTAGGGGTACAGTCCCTATTCTGCTCTGTGTCAGTGTGTATCAGGGTCTCTGAGGACAGGTGTCAATCCATATGTCAAGGTGTCAATATGTCATATGTCAGGTGTCAATCCATATTGATTGTGATTTAGGAATGTTAGGTGATTTCTGCCCTTTATGGATTAAAACCAGACTTTGTATCAACTGTGTAATTTTCCATGGGAGTTTTGCCATGGATCCCCCTCCGGCATGCCACAGTCCAGGTGTTAGTCCCCTTGAAACAACTTTTCCATCCCTATTGTGGCCAGAAAGAGTCCCTGTGTATTTTAAAATTCGCCTCCCCATTGAAGTCAATGGCGTTTCGGGCGGTTCGCCGGTTCGCGAACATTTGCGGAAGTTCGCTGCTCGCTAACCTAAAAATTTCGGCTCCGCCGGCTATCACTACCCCCATGTACAGGTTTTATGGTGTCTTGGAAAGTTATAGGGTTAAATATAGTGCTAGCAAATTAAATTCCCTTTACTTTCGGCATGGGTTGTCAGGCAGGTCCCGCTAAATGTAATTAATTAAGATACCTAATTATGTAAAAATATTACATAAATATATATGTAGAATTAGTATATGTATATATATACATATGTGAATATATATGTATATATATATATAATTTTTTAAAAATATTTTTATTTATATATAGGTATATATAGATATAGTGATATATACGTATATATATTTATGTATATAGATATATATATATTATTTCGTTCTACGTGTATTTTGATATAAATATATATATATATTAATATCACAATACAGTTAGAACGAAATAACACACATCTATATATTTTTTAATTATTTATTTTTAATTATTTTTTAAATTTTATTTTTTAACGTATTTACATATTTAATTTTTTTACATTATATATAAATATATATATAACAATAATAATATATATATTTAATCAGTATCAGTCTACGTGTAATTTGATATTAATATATATATTTAAATATATATATATATTAATAGTAAAATACACCTAGACAGTGTATGTGTGTGTATGTATATGTGTATATATATATACTTAGATCATATATATAATATATATATATGATCTAAGTATATATATATTTTTTTTACACTTTATTAATTTATTTTTAATTTATTTCCAGCCAGCAGGAGGACTACCTGTCATTACAGGCAGCCCTCCTACTGGCAATGCTGCAGCCAGCTATCCCGGCCATGTGATTGTGAGGTCCTCGCAAGGACCTCACTCTCACATGGCCGGGGGGGGGGCTGAGGAGGCAGGATCCGCCATGGGGGGCTCCCTGGGAGTCCCCCCAACCGCGATCACCAGTGTGGGATCGCCGGTGACCGGGTAAGTAGGAAAAAACCGGAGGGCGTACTATTACGCCCGGCGGCGTTTAGAGCTGCCTAAAATAGGACGTAATAGTACGCCCTCCGATCTTAAGGGATTAACCCATCTCATTATTTTTGTGTATAGTATTTGTAAATCATAAACTTCCAAACAATTCTTCTACCATTCACATAAGTGAAAAAAAAAAATTATGATCCAACATATATGCAAAATGCTGTATTCTTATCGTTATTAACTTAATGCAGATTTTTTTATTTTCCTTTTTTTTTTCTTTTTTTACTTATGCTAACCATTTACAGGATTCAACCAATATTTTTTTTTCTTTTTTCCCTCTTCTTTTCCTTCCCTCTCCTTTCCCTCTTTTTCCTTCTTTTTCTTAAAAAAAAAAAAAAAAATTAGTTTCTTCTATATCAACGATTTTGTTGTTTTTATATTTGAATTCTTGCTACTCTTTGCTTCATCTGCATCGGTAAAAGAAAGTCTTTCTTGTCTCCAAATAAATTTTAAAGAAGCCGGGATGCTCCATTGAAATCTAATATAATTTTTTTCTTAGAAAATCTGTTAGTATTGAAAAAGATTTTCTCCAGGTTCTAGTAAAGTAAGATAAGTCTTGCAAAAAATATATATCTTTATAAACAGAATTTGTTAGGGGTTTTGTGCGTCTGGCCTTGCTCAAATTGTTTTTAGCTGAGAGTGAGCAGAAACTCACTATCACGTCTCTTGGAAGATGAGCTGCGATTATATTAGGTTTTCGAATCCGGTGAAACTTTTCTATTTGATAATCAATTGTCTAAGGAAGAACTTCTTTAAATAAGCTGCATAAATAATCTTTTAATTTCTCCGTTGTTATATCTTCAGATATACCTCTGAGTCTTATATTAAATTTTCTTGATCTATCTTCTAAGAATGCTATTTTTTGTTCCAGAGTTGAAGTTTTATCTATTAAGAGCTGCATTGTTTCCTTAACTGTGCCTAATTGTTTGTCAAACGTTACAAGTTTTTTTCCAGAGCTTGCACTGATATTGCAATTCTTTTTGTATCTTGTTTAATATCTTCAAGACTCATAAGCATATCTTGTTTTAATGTGTTAAATTGTGACTCTAATATTAATTTGAGCTGATCTTGTAGGCTGTCTTTCGTTGTTTCAAGAACTAGTGATTGCCCTTGAACCGCTGAGAAATCTACATTGGTTTTGGAAGTATTCACCGGGTTTATCTCACATTCACTTTTCCGTTCTTGTATGTCTTTAGAGGGGGTCGAAAAAAACAGACATCCTCTTTTCTATTAGCTGTCCTGGCTTATTTTCCTTCTTTTTCTCCATGGTAGTTTTTCTAGTTGCCATTTTGCTATTCACACAAGAGTTCTTTCAGTATTGCCTTCAGGATTTTTGTTTCAACTAGACTGAATTTTGCATATATAGTAAATTTCTTCTCCTTTTTTTTCTCTTCCTTTTCCCTTTTCTATTTTTTTTCTCTCTTTTCTTTTTCCTTATTTTAGTGACAGCTTCTTAGTTTTTCCAACTTGTGGCAGCTTATGATATCAATGTATTTGTTGTAGCATATCAATTTTTGATGTTTATTTTTCTGCCTTTATTTATGTTGGTTATAAAGTCTTGATTAACTTGATTAGGCTTATATTCTTTCAGCCTCAGCTTATTGCTCTCATTTAATAAAAATATACTCTGGAAGTTTTAATAATTGTGACTCTCAGTTGTAGTTAAATGATATATATGCCTTAATTTAAGCAGCGTATCAATATAATTAGAGGTACTCACGGTACTTCAACTTCTTCCCCAGTATTTTATAATTATCAGAAGTCATCCATTTGTTTTGCACTTCCGACTCGGCAACAGCCCAAAAAAGGAGATCAAGTCCGGTATCACTCTTTTATCGTTAATTCTCATTTCCACGCCAAAATTTGTTTGATCAAATACAGCCTGATACTTTTAGCGTGGTCGGCTTGTTTTCGCGCACTTCTGCCACAACAGCGTTCCTCCAAACCGCCGAATATGCTCAGCGTGGTTACTTCACTTCCACGCACTTCTGCCTGATCACCATTCCTCCGGACACACCCAACTCCTGCACGTGTTGCGTCTCATGTCATCACGTCCACACCTCCCCTGAACACATGTTAATCAGTAGAGAATGGTATGTGGAAATTCTGCCCCAAAAAATAAAATAATCACAAAAAGGGAAGTTTTACTCTATATTTTGAACTTTAATATTTATATTAATTGTGACTTTAGCACTCAACATGGCTGTTTTATTAATCAACAAAGGTATTCAATACAGCTTTAATCATGAAAGTCTAATAGATTCAGAGAAGGCTTGTTCTGGATCATGCTGACCTCATCGTTAGCCAGCCATTCCATAGCGCTCGCACAACTTTGTAGGATCCTCCTTTTGTAGTACTTCCACGGTGCAAGCATGCTTATCATACTTGACAAAGCATTTGCTCTGGTCATAGTTGGCAGGTCTACCATAACTGGAACATAATAGGAATAGAATAATTCGAAAGTGAGATATATTCAAACTACTTTTTTTAATTGTGTGTCATGAACCCACTAACCTACATTTTCTATTATTACTTATCTCTATCATATTTATCACTCTTTCACATATGTATCTATACATAGCGACTGTTAGCTGGCTTATATTTGCCCCTATTTAAAAATAGAAATTTAAACCCCAAATTAAACATTACTTAAAATTAAAAAAAGCAAAATGCATGCATGAATCCAGTACTCATGTGGCCTTTTGCAATGGTGCTATTCAATATCTAGAAGCATATTCACAAACGTATTATTTTTATAAATATTTCCTGACACAACAATAGAAATGAAACAGTAATGATTGCTCTAACATGATGTGTCTACTACGGACACAGCAGAAACTTAAAAACAGCAAACTTTCATAAATAAAACAGAGGGTGTTGGGGGCCCTGTTCAAACAAGGTTACATTCTAGAGGGAGTGGGGTAAAGTGACTCAAGAGGTAAGAGTAGGGTGTTTTTAATTTACAGGAAAAGTAGATTGCTAGAATAGTTTAGAATGTGTAGTTTTTAAATGACATAGTTGCAGAGAAGGAAACAAGATGGGTTACCAAAGTGCAGGGAGGGAAAGCTTTTTACATATTTACAGTCACAGGGTGGAAATCGTATATTACTCAAGAAGGTGGAATTACACAGATAATTGGAATTTTGATTGCATGTTTTATTGTGTTGGAGCAGCACAGTTGGGAAAGATTCAGGTAAAAGGTTATCATTGTAAAAGATACTAGTTAGAATGTGTCAACTTGGATATTCACATGACCTGAACTACAACATTTACTCTGCAGCTGTGCAATAATAAATAATTCCATGCTTGAACAAAACAGAGCCAATGGGGTGGAGCAATGATCTTGGATACAAGCTACGGGATGCGCCTACACTCACGTTGAGGGTGTGGAGACCTAGGAGGTGTATGGCGGCTAGATGCCATTGTCCACTTGAATTCTGGCGTGCAAACGTTAAGCCTTATGTCCCCAGACCTACCTCATGGAGTCCTTGAACAGTAAAGTTGAAAGTAGCCTGGCTGGGGCCTGGAGGCTTTATTACTGAGCCAGTACAGTAGTACAGAAAATTGTTATAATATGGAGAGAGCCAAGCCACTCTGGGTGAGAAAGAACTGTAAGCAAGCTGCAATAAGATTTGGGTGAGCTGATTCAACATTGTAGTAGTATGTGAAACCCATTATAATTTCAACAGTATTATACAGTTGTGCTCAAAAGTTTGCATACCCTGACAGAAATTGTGAAATTTTGGCATTGATTTTGAAAATATAACTGATTATGCATAAAACATTATTTTATTCAAGGATAGTGATCATATGAAGCCGTTTATTATCACATAGTTGTTTGGGTGAGTTCTATTATCATTATGATTTTAAATAGGAGCCAAATGGGCCTAATCAAAAGTTTACATACACTTGGATGTTTGGCATTGTTACAGACATATAAGATGACACACAGGTTAAAATGGCAATTAAAGGTTAATTTCCGACACCTGTGTATTTTTAAATGGCAATTCGTTTCTGTGTATTAATAGTCAATAAGTTGGATAGCTTTCACGTGGATGCACTGAGCAGGCTAGATACTGAGCCATGGGTAGCAGAAAAGAACTGTCAAAAGACCTGCGTAACAAGTTAATGGAACTTTATAAAGATGGAAAAAGATACAAAAAGATATCAAAATCCTTGAAAATACCAGTTACTACTGTTAAATCACTTAGTAAGAAGTGGAAGATTTGGGGATCTCTTGATACCAAGCCAAGGTCAAGGGTAGACTGAGAAAGATTTCAGCCACAACTGCCAGAAGAATTGTTTGGGATACAAAAAAAAACAAAACACAGGTATCCTCAGGGGAAATGCAGGCTGCTCTGGAGAAAGACAGTGTGGTTGTTGAGACATTTTGTCAAGAAGAATGGGCAGCTATACCGCCTTAGACATGTGCAATTCATTTTGTTCTGTATGTACATTAGTGTGGATTCCATGCCAAAGTTCTGAAGTGACGAAGTTCGGTAGTTCGGAGGTGCCGAAGCTCCAAAGTGATTTGGATTTCTGAAAATTGGCATTTTACACTATTTAGGGGGGGAAAAGCATTTTGTGACAGTAGGTTTACTGTTGGGGGGACAAAAGGATATGCATTGTTTTACCTATTCAATTCCTTTAAGGTATCGGAATAACCTTGTCTTCTGATCTATTGATTTAAAGCAACTTTGCACTGTGCAAGGAGTATTGCCTGTATTGATTCACATTTTGTATTAAATTAAAGACTTTGGTGAAAGTAACCTCTCCACTTGTACTATGGGCCCTGCATGGAAAAATGTAAAAGACTACCGAACATGACCTACTGTTAGCATTGATTTCCCTGGAACTGTTTTGGGCATAGGACCACGTGCACGGTCGGTCAAAACTATGAATTCCAGGAGAATTCCTGAACCCCTGAACCGATCTGGGTGATTTTTGGATATGTTGTTCACCCCTTGTTATTTTTTGTGGTTTTAAAGTACTTTTTGGGGTTTCATAAAATTTTATGTTTTTCTGTGTTTGGAGATAATTGGGTTAAATTAGTACAGTTCCTGATTCAATTATTTCCCAAGCACAGAGGAGGATTCTATTGTTTGTGTATGGGAGTGTCTGACTGTATGACTCTGTTTTTATTGGTTTATTCACTTAGTGTCCCGGTGCCCAACAAGGTCCACCTGGGTGTCACCCTTGTTGGGAAACTTGCATAAAAGGCCAGTGTGCCTCCATTAAAATTCTGTTCCTGCTTACCCTCAACATAGTCTCATCTCATGAGTGGGGGAAACGGCTGTATCTATCCTGGAGATTGATATATCACTATACTCCCCAGGAATTATAATCACTAGCTCTTATAAGAGCTGTTCCTGCTATGGTTTCTGGGAGTAGGAGAGATCTGCCCTCTGGAAGCTGGATCCCGGTCTTGGGTCCAGGGTGGGTGAAGGACGGCAAGACCCCGGCACAGCTGCATCACTGGAAGTGGGGTCTGCAGTGTTTATGGTGTCTGGTGGAGTGCTGAAATTTCTCAGTGAGCACTAGGAGCATCAATTGGTGGAGGCACTCGGTCGGAGTGCCAGGCAGTCCGTCACAAAGACGGAAATTTTTTATCTTGTCCATGTTAGGGGATCTGCTTCACACCATTTGAGAATTCGGATACATATTTTTTATTTTGGGGACTGATGTTTAGTTTTATTGGTGTATCAAGTCCATTGATACTTTTACATGGTGCTAAAAATGATCCATAACAGTTTGTGCTCTTTATACTGCATTTATTATAGATATTTATGCGTCATTTTACAGATCTTTTTTATTTATTTTTTATTGTCAATAAAGTGTTAATTCTTTTGTTGTCCACTTTGTTGTGATATTTGCAATTTCCCTTTTGTTTTGTTATTGTTTTTTTCCCTCTCTTTATTTCGCTAAACCGTGTCTGTGGTTTTTATTGTGATAGTATTGGGAAAGGTTTTTTGGTGATCAGTTTTTCAGAGTATTGTTCAGTAGATGATTCCTCTAGTGGTTCATTTATTTAGAGAAGATTTTTTTTGATTCTAGAGATTTTACATTACCGTGATATTCAGCCATAATTCCCCAGAAGGAATGCGATTGTGCAAAAGGTGTTCTTTTTTGGGGTTCCTGGGTAAGAATTCCTACTTTGCTGCAAACATTAGCTCTGACATTATTACACAGCTCACATCAGGTTATAGTATATGACACTTACATTACAATCATACATCCCAATCCAAGTGACATACAACCCTTAAATCCTCACATTCAGCCATGATGTATGCTCTTTACAATAGCATGAAGGAGCAAACAAGAAATTTGTGTAGTCCCTCAGTGGATATCCCACATGTGTAAACACTCTGGTCTAACTAAATCATAAGGAATTATTGCAACTTACACTTTGCAGCAGGACATCTCCTCAGTATCACAACTGCAGTCAAAGCAATTTTTCGTCTTCCACCGAGTATTAAATTCATGGAGCACGCCATTTTTATCCAAACAACCTTCAAAACAGAATTAATTTTAGCAATACTTTTAACACTTATATAGAGAAACTGGAGAAAAGATGAGTACATTCAGAAAAGAGTAAAAAGATATCAGAGTTCAGGTACTCAGGTGAAGGAAAGAACTGAGAAAATAGCAGGGACATACTGAGGTTAACTACCAAATGAAAAAAGTGAAGTGTGAAAGAGAAGGATAAAATGACTTGGTAACAGTAATAAAAGGGCAGATTAGAGGGATAAGGAGAGGAAGGAAAACAGGCATATGATAACAGGAAGACCAAAAGATTATGAAATTAGGGAGTGCCCTCACTAAGAGACCAAAGCTAGCCATTAGGCTAGTCGACAAGGGAGATCAGAGCATGTAGTGTTGGCACTATGCTATCTATCTCTCCATCTCACCCAACCACAAGCACAATACAGACCCTATACCACACTGCTCATGCACACACTATATTCCTGACATATACACTTCATCCTCTATACACAATCTGGATCCACCATTGCACACACTAGATTCCCTGTATGCAAACACACACACCACTGTAGCGGAGATGCAATATTACCCAGGTTATCTCCGCTTATAATCCAAGTGAGGCTCAGGAACAAGTAAATAGTAAATCCACAGGCAAGGTTTCCAGCAGGTAAAATAACAGCAATATCCCAACAGCAATCCCAATAACTGGACGACACACAGTTTCAGGAGCAGAACTGAAAGCTTTAATCCACAGTCTCCTTATTGTCAGGGTCTTACCTGAGTTGGGAGTCTGTAGCGCAGATATGATGCTCACCCTTGCAGATAGCCACAGGCCGAGGTGGTCAGGTAAGAATTCACCTGGCCTGTGGGTCTGTGCACGGGGGCTGTGCAGGATGCAGTACCAATACGCAGGGCAGGCAAGGACTGAACCAGCAGGATGGTCGAGGGATAGCCGAGGTCAAAGGATGCCAGAGGACAGGAACAACGAGGAGTAGCCGAAGTCAAGGGATGCCAGAAGTCAGAATAAACGAGTCAGGAAGCCGGGGTCAATAATGCGAAGCGATAAAACAGGAAAACTAGAACAAACAGGATCAAAGACTTGACCCTGAGCACAGGGCGAGGCTGGGTTTATATACCCTGCTGATGACTGATCAGAGTCAGGTGAAACACAGCCAAGTCAAGGTGCAGCCCCCAGAGTAGTAGCCATGTCAGGATGAACAGGACTGGAATCAGTCCTCACTGTAAATAGCTGCTGTGGCTCAGAGGTAGAAAGCAGGACCAGGACTGAGAAGATCCCCGGTTCAAGTCCCCTGTTGGGAACTCCAAGAGCGACCACGTCTTGCCGTCTGTCTATCAGGTGAGAACCGTGACAGTACCCCCTTTAAAAACGACCTCCGGGCGTGAATGGGTTCATTGTCAGCATAGTACACCTCTCCAGGGTCACTATCTGAATCCAGTGAGTCCCCATAGTCAAACTCCCCAGCAAGGATTCCCTTTACAGCTTGGGAGTCCGCAGTACCAGCTTCTGGTACGGCTGGAGAATTGTCCTGGTCTTTTAGGTTCCGGGTACAGGTGGCAAGCACTTCCAAAACTTTGGCAGGAGCAGTGTTCGCAGCTAACAATGCTTTTTCGAACATTTCAAGGTTTTCTTTACGGACTATAGTACCATTAGAAGCAACGGCACAATCCACAGGTAAAACCTCTTCGGGCGGGCAGGAAGTAGTGGTGGTATCACAGGAAGCAACTTCGGGAGTAGATGCAGGAGGCTCTGGAGCAGGGGATGGAGGTTTTCTCGCGGAAGCCAAGCATGTGCAAGCACAACGGCTTCTATTTGGCTTTTTAGGCTGGTATGTGGTGTACACAGGGCGAAGGAAACTAGTACCAAGTCGGAGAGCTGGAGGTCTAGGAGGGCGAACAGGACAAAGCGTGATGAAGTGCCCTTTTTCTCCACAGTAATAACATAGGCCATAGCTTCTCCTTCGGCCTTTTTCCTTAGGTGTCACCTTGCAGTGGACGAGTCCTAATTGCATAGGTTCCACAGGGTCAAGTGGAACACCGGATACCTCTGGAGTTTTCCTGGGAGCTGGAACATAAGGAGGCATTTCTGGGACGTAGTGGTGGTACTCGGTTTCTAGGTTAGGAAGAGTCTGAGATTTTTTAGTACGCGGAGCTGACTTGGCCACAGTGGTCTTACATTGTGAGTCCATAGCAGTACTAAAGGATTCCCAGCTGACCAGGACAGGACTCTTCGTCTGCAACATTTGGTGAGCCCAAACTTTGATGCGTCCAGACAACAGGTTGATAGCCGCTCTGACCCTGATGAATTCTGTGGCATAAGTTCGAGGCTTTAAGGAAAACAACACCTCACAATCCATCTTGAAAGACTGAAAGGATGTGCGGCTACCATCAAATCGGTCGGGCATGATGACAAACGGTTCAGGAAAAGCTGGTTCCGGGGCTGGATGTACTGCGCCTTTAAGGAATAAAATTTCTTGCTGCAGCTCCGAAACAGTCTGGGCCAGGCTGGACACACGCTGGGTCGAGGGTGAGCACATCTCTGCGGACTCCATAATGGTCAAGTCCTTAAGTCAGGGTCTTACCTGAGTTGGGAGTCTGTAGCGCAGATATGATGCTCACCCTTGCAGATAGCCACAGGCCGAGGTGGTCAGGTAAGAATTCACCTGGCCTGTGGGTCTGTGCACGGGGGCTGTGCAGGATGCAGTACCAATACGCAGGACAGGCAAGGACTGAACCAGCAGGATGGTCGAGGGATAGCCGAGGTCAAAGGATGCCAGAGGACAGGAACAACGAGGAGTAGCCGAAGTCAAGGGATGCCAGAAGTCAGAATAAACGAGTCAGGAAGCCGGGGTCAATAATGCGAAGCGATGAAACAGGAACACTGGAACAAACAGGATCAAAGACTTGACCCTGAGCACAGGGCGAGGCTGGGTTTATATACCCTGCTGATGACTGATCAGAGTCAGGTGAAACACAGCCAAGTCAAGGTGCAGCCCCCAGAGTAGTAGCCATGTCAGGATGAACAGGACTGGAATCAGTCTTCACTGTAAATAGCTGCTGTGGCTCAGAGGTAGAAAGCAGGACCAGGACTGAGAAGATCCCTGGTTCAAGTCCCCTGTTGGGAACTCCAAGAGCGACCACGTCTTGCCGTCTGTCTATCAGGTGAGAACCGTGACATTTATAAAGCATGCTCCCATGCAAGGGAGGGATTTACAGTAATTATTACAGTAGCCAATCCTGTCCTGGTAACCTCCCACACATCTCCTCCCCTCAGCCAGCATCATAATCCCCTTATCCAGTACAGTAATTCCCCCCGTTTCTGGATGTACCCCTAAAGGGGTACCTCTTTAAATCCTACATGCCCGGATAGCCCTGATCTGGGTGAACAACATATCCAAAAATCACCCAGATCAGACCAGGGGTTCGGGAAATGTATGGAGGGAATAAAATGACCGACCGCACTAACTGAGATAGCCGAATAAGGTTCCATGCGAATGGGCCCTGCGGTCGGTCCTGGCATAAGGGAACAAAATACACGAAAGCCTCTTAGCTATAGAGGCTAGGGAGGGTTCGCCTGAATCCCCTCGTTCGGTATTTTCTATCTACCGAACGAGGGGTCGTTCGGTAGTTTGGAACCGAATGGAACAGGTTTGTGGAGGTCTCAGCGGTGTTCGCCTACTCGAGTGTCCGATTTGAGTTCCAGACACTCGACGGCAAAACACAGCTGTTCGGGAGTTTTAAAATGGCGTGTTCGTTTGTCGAATGGCGGCCACCCCCGAGAACAAAGGACGGCTACTACTATTCAATTACTCGTTCGCAACAATGTTGCAACGGGTAATTGAGGACACACTTCACACAGGGTAGGTCTGGTTGTTCGGTAGTATCATTCGAATAAACTAAGGGAATGAAACTACCGAACAATCAGAGGAATACAATTCTTTTTAACACATATAAAACACAGCAGATACACGAATGCAGTTATGTACAGTATATTTGTAGGATCGCCTGGTGCCATCCGCTACAACCACATTCACTAAAACACACACTAAGTGATCTACAGTAGCTTGGGGGGGTCTTGGCCTTGGCCCCCCTACAACGTGCAGTGCTCCCTTTGTGCCCCCCCAATTGACGTTGAAGCTGGGAGCAGCACTGTAACTGTGGGCCAGAGGGGGCACTGTGCTGGGAGGACTTGCGCCTGGGTCACAGAGAGCAGCGCAGGGGAGAGACAGGGAGAGGAACAGAGGCATACAGGCAACTGCTGGTAAGTGTGAGTCAATTTGTGTGTTTCAGTCTGTGTGTGTGGTGGGGGGGAGTGGTGTCTGTGCGTGTGTGTGGTTCAGTCTCTGTATGTGGGGGGGGTCAATCTGAATGTGGGGGACTAAGTCTGTGTATGTATGGGTCAGTCTGCGTGGGGGAGCAGTCTGTGTGTATGTATGGGTCAGTCTGTGTGTGTGTGGGTCTGTGTGTGGGTTTGTATGGGTCAGTCTGTGGGTTTGTATGGGTC